CCCCAAAACCCCAAAACCCCAAAACCCCAAAACCCCTATTGATTTAAGGATCATTGAAGCCTTCCTTGAATTCGTTGTAGTTAGGCTTCGTCTTCAAAATATACCTTTTTAGTGCCATCATCAAAAATAGAAAGTCTTTTGCGTTTTGGGTAAAACATTTTTGTGAATGTATGCCCTGATACTGAAAATTTCAACTGCACTTGATCATCAGGTTGTTCTAGTGGGACCTTTTCCTTAAGCCGAGCTTTTAAAGGAGTTGTTGCGACTGATACAGGCTTTTTCTCTGCCAAGAATCTTGTTGAGAAGGGATTACCAGCTTTCTTTGTTCTATTAGATTTTGATATGCCCTCATCATCCATGCCTAAAGTGGTCATTACTGGTAATTTCTTTGGAATCCCAAACTTAGTGTTCATTCTTTTAAGAGTTTTAGGGATAATAATCTTCTTTTTGTTCTTGAGTTGTCTGACTTGGCTAATCTTCTGGATACCTTTCATCTGAGTGATCATGGTTTCTCGAAGTAATGCCATTTTTCCATTGATATCGATACTGTACCTGTCCCAGCCGCTGAAATTACTGTCCTTTAAGAGAGCAGTGTTATTGACGACATCATCAATGAAGCTGAGCCTCTGCTTCTCTTCATTTTTTGCTATATATTAGCATGAGCTACTTACTCCGTTGAAGCTTATTTAGCTTCCTGGTGACGTTGAGCTTTTTCTAGGTATTCTTTGTAGTTTGGGATAAATAATTTCTCAGGCCTAGACTAAGTCTTGGAGTAAAGTTACCTTTGAGTTACAATTTTACCTGGACTCTTACTCTTACGCCTCGCTTTTGATTGAGATTTTTGGGAGAGGCGGAACTAAGATTTAGTAGGAAATATTACCCGCTCGTACTTTTTCCGAAGGAAATTGTGGGTTGTGCTGTCCCTTGATTTTACTTTATTTAGTGATTATGTTGAGGTCTTTGAGAATTCTGCCTGGAAGAAGAGAAGTTCGTTCTCCTTGATATGATTTTCGTGGATTGTGAGCTCTTTTTGGCATAGTTTTGTTTTTAAGTTTGTGTAGAAACATTTCCATCGCTATTTTTAAGGGAATTACTTTACTTCGTCTTTTGGATGTCAGCATTGGAGAATTTTTACAGCTGTCTTGTTTTAGGTTTTTATCAAACATACTTCTTGATTTTCTAGGAGACTCTATAATGGAACTATTAATCCTTTGCCATAATGTATTTTTTGTTTTATTTATTGCTTCTTCTCCTATAATTTTTGCAAAAGAGCCAGGAGTTGTATTCATTTTGAACTTTATTTTACAATAACTTAAAAATAAAAAGGGGTTTTGGGGTTTTGGGGTTTTGGGGTTTTGGGG